AGATTTATTTACTTATTCATACAGAACTGGTGTACAGGCCAGAGATGCGGAGGGTGAGAGGATTCACCAGGGACAGAGTAGGGAGCAGAACAGGCAGATCGACGAATTACACTGCTGAGGGGAGCAGCGGGGTGGTCAGGAGAGGTCTGCCACGCCATGTGGAGCTCCTCCAGGGCAGGCGGGTATCGAACTCATGCGGAAGTGGCTTACGATTCTTAGTGCAGTGCTTTAACCCCCTGCGCCACCAGGGAGGGCCTAACTTGTTCTTTTAACTACCTAAAGTTGATGACATTAAAGATTAAAACCCAGGGAAGCCCCCAGAATCGTGGAGGCGGAGTTAGGGGCTTTCAGCTATGCTTAGGAGCCCTCATCTAAGAGACTGGGATGCAGTCTCAGGGAGACGGTGACTCTCCCTGATGGATGTCACGAGATTTTTTTTTTTTAAAGATTTATTGATACATAAAAAACTGGGTGCAGGGTGTGGGGAGGCAGTGAGAGGATTCGCCTGCGACAGGATGGGGAGCAGAAGAGATGATTGGCTAAAATACACTGCTGAGGGGAGGAGTGGATGAGACAGGAGAGGTCTGCTGTGCCTTATGCAGACAGAAATGCAAACTCATGCTGCAGAGCTTCATAGTGCTGGGCTTTACCCCGCACCACCAGGGAGGCCCCAATCACAGGAAAATTGTTATGATTACTTAAGTCCTAGAACCACGGTACATTCAACAAGGAAACTGGGTTGGTGCGGCTTCATCCTGTGGTGATGTAATGAAGTGACAGAAGCAAGCAGTTGAAAAGGGAAACGCTGTGAATGCCAGGTTTAAAATATTTGGCAACAGGGCCCTCCCTGGTGGCGCAGCAGGTTAAAGCACTACACTAAGAAGCTTAAGCCAATTCCGCATGAGTTCGATCCCCGCCTGCCCCGGAGGAGATCCACATGGCGTGGCAGACCTCTCCTGACCCGCCCGCTGCTCCCCTCAGCAGCGTACTTCGTCGATCTGCCTGTGCTGCTCCCCACTCTGTTCCTGGTGAATCCTCTCACCCTCCGCATCTCTGGCCTGTACCCCAGTTCTGTATGAATAAATAAATCCTTAAAAAATAATAATAAAATATCTGGCAACAGTCCTGCACTTGCCTCCAGCTCACTACCCATGGAATGAGTGCAAGGGGAGACATGGAAGATGCCTTGACCATCAAAGACAGACATCACCAAGGAACTCTCCCTCCTGTGAAACCACTGCTTCATTATGGCTGAAGATGCTATCAAGATTCAAACAAGAACCAAGCAAGAAGCAGGAGGAAGTATGCCTTTGGCAGAGTCCCAAGCACACACTTGGCTATTTGCATACACACCACAATCATAAATGCTCAGAAGCCCCTCACACTGTATCATGCATACATTTGCTATTCCCATTGTAGCTCTGCTTCAATCAAAGCAAGTTTTTGTTCTGAATCCTGTGCTTCTTTCAGCCCACTTTTATTACCTAAACCCAGTTCATATTTTGAATTGTGTGCCCTCAAAGCTGTAATGAATGTCTCAAATTTTGGTAGTTCATGAAGTATACAAGTATCTAATTTTACCTCAATTCATAAGGGGAAACTGAAAGAGCCCTACATAAAGGAGTACTGCATGTTTGTATGCATAAATATACATATGCATAATACATGTGTGTGTGTGACAGAAATCTCAAATTGGTGTCATAAGACATACTTTGATAACAGATTTTATCATCTGTCCTTTACAGACTTGATTGACCGAAAAAGCCAAACTATTGATGGGTAATCATCCTTACTTCTTATTGCTGATTACACTCGGATTTTACCTAGTGTGTCTGTAGGTGCCCCCTCCGCCCATATACCCCTCACCCTGGCTCTTCTCATGAACCTCCTAAGTACAGGTTGAATGGCCCTGGCAATGTGTACACTGGTGGTTAGAGGAAGGCACCGGCTTTTCCCTCTGTGTTCTCATCAGTAGACGGCAGCGAGGAGGCTGAGTGTAGCCCTGGCCTAGATGTCCCACATTGCCATGGCTTTTAGGAGAATATTGATGTTTCCTTAAGAGAAATTAGGTAATACAAGTTTAAAACAGACCACTTACACCTCAGTGTTGTTGAATGTGAGTGACCAGGGTCTTGTATACTTTAAACTTCCCAGCTTCTGGGAGGGCAGTTTGGACTAAACTGGACTATAGTGAGAAACTCTTGTCCTCTGTGAAGTTAAGTGGCATTTGAAGAATGCTGGCACCTAGCTTGCACAACATCATAACTGATGAAAATCAGTAATTATATCATTTTGGTCTACTGACAATTTTTAGAATTATATTGTGAACTTTTCCCAATTTAATTTGGTGTACCATTTTCTTCAGAAATTTGATATCCTATTGCTAGTTCCGAAGTATGCAAAGATTTACACCAAATATTTCTGGCTGGTACAAGTATTTATTTTATACTTTTTTCTCTAGATGTACCCCTGACACCACTATCCCTTATATCGTTCTGACCCTTCCTTCCTGCAGACCCCTCATTTCATTTACAAATTTTACACTTAAGATTTTACTTAGATATACTTAGATTTTAGCTAGCATGCCTGTGCTAGTTTAATTGACTTTCTCTTAAATTGACTTTTATCTTTCTTGGTGTAGCTCACCACCCACCAGACATGCTAGCAAACTTTTCATTTCCTGGACATATTGCTTGTCGCTCCTTTACTCAAAATGTGAGCAGCTCTGCACTTTGTACATTAGAAAGCATCATGCCCCCTAATTACCTTTTTTCTCCAGTGAGCAACTTATGATTCAAAATAGAGCATCTCCTATTCAGTTCCATATCCAGGATTCCAGTGTGCCACTTTGTCCAAGTACTGTGGAGAATCACCATAGCTTTCCCTTGTGATAACTGGTCTTGGAAATAATATCTATTCCCTTTCCATGCATAGATCTTGAAAGTGTACAATCCATAGAAATAGCACTTCACACCATAGCAAACTGTTTTACAAATAAGACATCTAATACGCCTAACACGTTTATTTATTTGGCTCTAAGAAGAAGTTGCATGAAAATGAGCCTATGTGGCAGGTACAGAATGTACTGTAACAGCACCAAAGGTACATCCTCTCTGCTTTAATGAACCTCAGTGTTTAATATATACATGTGACTTTAATAATAAAACCAAAGAGTTCAGGGGGAAAAGGAGCCCTTTAGAAAAAAATCAGTTTAGAGTGACTTTTCAAATTGACCATTCCTTTTCCTATACGTAAGTTCAAATAACGAATACATTCAGAGGCCCAAATGTTGGCATAGAATAAAATCATGTTCATTTATTTTTCTGCATCTTAGAATTAGAAGGCATAAAATTAAATACGTTGAATGTAATAAATTCATCCATACAAGTGCAAGTCTCCAGCTATAATGCATTTTATGGCAGATTTATCATTTAAAAAATGTACCAGTAAATCAAAAAAGAGGGATGTCCATTTAACTTTTATTGAAGTGTATGGAGGAGGTCTTCAAAAATCAAATATGAGCATGAAGGTATGGCCAAACATAAAACCTATCAAATTCAGTGAAAAGTTGTTGACTTTAAATAGTAGTTGTAAGAATGACCAATATATATTCTTTGTTAACAACCCC